ACCTTGGGCAAGCCGTAGTTCTGATAAGAGCTGTCCTTGAAAAAGAGCAGTTTCTGTCAGAGCTCTCTCAGCCCCACCAACCTCTCAGGGTGTCTGTTGTGGGGAGGGGAAGGGAAAGGGGTTTGTAAGCGGCTCTGAGACTCCGAGTGAAGGGCAGGGTATAAATCCAATCCCTTCTTCTTCTAGAAGGGAAACCACCTTTCTTTGGTTAGTACTCGGATGAGAGACCACCAGGGAAGTCAAGAGTTCCTTCCTTCCTTCCTTCCTTCCTTCCTTCCTTCCTTCCTTCCGTGTCCCTGACAGATATCTGTCTAGCTTTCAATAAATTTGCAATCCATAGCAGCTGGCTCCAGCACTGAAATACTTTTGTGTGTTTGGACGTCCAATCCTGTGGCAGTTTTTAGATGAATCAAGTCTTATTCAAGGGGTAATACTTCTCCAGATACATTGAAATGGAAGTTGCCAGTCCATACATACAGGTAGAGGATGAACAGAAAATGAGCATACAGCAGAATGAAGGTGTTTGACAGATGCAAGGACCAAACTGGAATAACAAGCTTGGTTTATATGGTCACCATTTGTTTGGGTTTAATTCCTTCCTTGCAGAAAAGGATGCTGTAAAATTACCTCCACGCTTGAGAGGAGACAGATGGAGAGTAACAATAAGGTCTCAGTTAGTTACTCTCAGCACTGCACTCTCCCATTTTGATATATTTATTTCCTTCACTATGTTTCCCCCTAGAATTAAACCCAAACAAATGGTGACCGTATGGTGCCAGTACCAGAGGTTAGCAGCTTGGGCGTGCTCTTGGATGCCTCCCTAATGATGGAGGCCCAAGTAGCATCAGCCTTTTACCATCTTCGGCTGATCAGGCAGTTGGTTCCCTTCCTTAAACGCGACCTGGTGTCAGTGATCCACGCAATGGTCACCTCGAGACTGGACTACTGTAATGCCCTCTACATTGTCCCAAATTCGGAAGCTGCAGCTGGTGCAGAATGCGGCGGTCAGGCTGTTGCTGGGTCTCCCTATACATCCACCTGCTCTAAAATCACTGCACTGGCTGCCTATAGCGTACCGAATTCGGTTCAATGGTGCTGGTACTTACCTTTAATGCCCTTTATGGCCAGGGACCTATGTACCTAAAGGATTGCCTTTCCCCATACGTTCCCCAGCGAGCACTGCGATCGGGCACTCAAAATCGCCCGGTCCTCCCAGGTCCTAGAGAAGCCTGGGCCTTCTCAGTGGTGGCTCCATATTGGTAGAATGAGCTCCCGGAAGACATCAGGGCCCTGCGGGACCTTCTGCAGTCCCGCAAGATCCTGTAAAACCGAGCTCTTCCACCAGGTGGTTGATTAAGGAGCCGCTGCAACCCTCTGAGGCCCTGGCCCCAACACCATCAACAATATCTTAATAACACAAATAATTTCATGAACATCACTGAATAGCCTGTGCCTGGCTGACATGACCCAGACCAGGCCCTACTTGATGGTGGACTCCCCCCATGTTGTACGCCATTGCCAGCACGTTATGTATTGTTTTTAGATCTCATTTATTGTAATTTTATCTGAGAATTTTTTTAATCAGTAATAATGATGTGAGCTGCCCTGACCCTGCTGTGGCGGGGTGGGTGGGGTGGAAGCCAAAATAAATAAATAAATAAATAGTACAAACCAAGCTTGTTATTCCCGTTTGGTCCTGACATCTGTTATACACCATTTATTAGGCTGTATGCTGATTTACTGCTCACCCTCTACCCTTATGTATGGACCGGTAGCTTCCATTTCAATGCATCTGAAGAAGTACTTCTGAATATGACTGGGGAAATGGGTGCGTTTCAGATACTTGCAGCCCTCCCGTAAGGGAAGCGTCCCACCCTCTCCAGGGCCAGGAGCAGTCCTCTCACTTTTTGAACCACCGCTATTGGTTGCAAGTGAAAGGCCAGGGGCCGTAAGTAGAGAAACCGGCAGACAGCATATATTTCTGTTAAATCCCGGGTTCTGGACACATTGCAGCGATCAGCTCTAGTTTATTAAGTGATTTCAGGAACACAGCAAGGACACACAGCAAGGTTTGAGCCCTGCTTATAAAGCATGCAAACACCCCACCCCACCCTGCACACACACACTCCCAAGGATAGACTATTTACATTACACTGCTTATCTATTGGTCTACTCCAGGATCCTGGTAAGATATTGTTCTACAGGAGCGAGC